GGCTGCCTTTCTGTCACTAAGGCCATATTTTACAAGTACTAATTCCTTCTCCCTTTTCCCCCCAACATAAGCATTCCAACTACCAATGTGTATCACTGCATCTGTATTGAATGGTTGGTCAATTTCAGGCTAAATTCTTTGATAGAAACCTTCAATTTCTTCATCAATTGCTTTTATGTTGAATGCATAACTTTGAATAATAGTTGCATTGCTTAGATTTCCTTGACTGGATAGAAATAATCCAAATGCAGACAATATTGTACTTCAAGATAAATCTTGAAATATTCTTTTGGACAATGAATGCAACAGCATTCCTCTGGATTGTTTAATTCCCAAGCTATTAAAGCACTTGATTCTCTGATTCAAAATGGCCATTACCAGATCATTTCAGCTCACCAATGCCTAGAATATTGATTTTATGCATTCCATTTCATATTTCACAACTTCCAATTTTCCTAGATTCATATTTCCTACATTCCAAGTTCCTATCATTAATTGATGGCTCAGCTTTTTCTTCTCAATTTGAATCATGCCCCTTCAGTAAGTGAAGATCCCACAGGCTTTACTCCACTCAAGTCATCACGGTGAACCCTACCTTGAGAAACAATTTTCCCCAGTCATATTTTGGATGCTTCCTTATCTGAAGGACCCATCCCTGGCACTATCTCTGACAATGTTCTGCTTCTTTTCATGCAGTTTTCAGTATCTGATATTATTTTGGTTATTTCCTTAAGGTTTTCTGTGGCTGCTTCCTTAGAAGTGGGTAGCCTATTCCTTCTTCATAGTCTGTTCTAAGTTTGGAACCTCTAGTGAAACATGTTCACTGTGAGTGACCATACTGGCATTTGAAATACAGGTGATATAGCTTCCAGTCTCACAGCAACACACGTGCTACTATAGAACAAACACTGACAGACAAATGGTGGATTCATGTATAGGACAGCCCAAAACACCAAACCCACTGCCACAGATTACTGTGCATTCTGATTCACAATAACCACATACAGATTCTCAGAGGATTTGCAACCCTTCACGGAAGCTTGTAGCTTCATTTTTATCCTATGGACAACTCAGGACTTAGAGTCAACAATCTCAGCACCACCAGGCCACTTTTTTCTGTTGTTATTGTTTTAATATAGGAGATGGAAATAAAATATTGAAAGGAAAACAATGTAATGAGAGAAGTTATAAAACCTTTGATTTTATATTTATCTGGAAGTCCTATCATATATCGTCTGCAGAGAGATGGATGATTCTGTGCAAATTATAATGTATGAGCAGTTACAAAATATAACTTTTCTATTACTAACCTACTTTGATAGTAGGATCCCTGGTAGCATAGTGTTGCACATTGAGCTGCTAACCACAAGGTCAGCACTATGAA